CTTTTCTTATTGTGAACAAAACTTTTTTTGTGATTTGTAATAGGAATGTTCTTAGGCCAATGATAAAATTTGATTTGTGTGAAACAAAATTGTATGAGGCTTTGGTTGTTGTGTGTTGGGCTTTGCAATTTTATTTTGCTATTGGGCTGGAACTGTGATGGAATTCTATTTTAAACCTCTTTGAATTTTGTCTTTTGTGGACCAACTTTGCTTGTAATTTGCAAAAGATGAACTGCTGCCCATTATTAAAACCTTGAAATTCTGATTTTATGAGGCTTTAATGTATGCTTGAATATGATTGAGAAACAACCCTTTAATATGATTCCTTAAACAAAATCCTAATGATGAAATTCATGAATAACACACTTTGAAAGTTTCTTGTTTATCTTCACATTTGATTGTTTGCTAAACATCTCTTTTACTTGTTTCATATGAGCAACAATGGATTGATGGGAGAAAGATGGAAATGGAAAGGGAAATTGTGGCATGGCTTGGAGGAGTTTGGAGGGAAATATGAAGTAGGAAGCTTTGAATATTTCATTAGCTTAGGAGTTCCATTTGAATATGTGTTGTAAGAAAATTAGGACTTGTGACTTAGAAGGCTTTGAATTATGTTTGTAAAAGAAACTTTGGAGAAGTTATGTATTTAAAAAAAAAACTTATTTGCAACATCTTGTAACCTTGTGTGAATTTTGTATAATTGAATTATCTTTTGATTAAACCAAACAATGATGCAAAATGCTTGTTGTGAAACTTGTAAAAGTCTTGAATAAATTTGCAAATGGAATTTTGATGATGATATGGATCTTTGAAACTTTGAAAGCCATACACGATGTTTCCCTTATAAAAGATTTTATTTCTCAGGATTCCCTAACAGAATTTTTCAAAGCCATACACGATGTTTCCCTTATAAAAGATTTTATTTCTCTACCAAATAGAAGCTCATCAACTCGTCAGCACTTCAAAACATGAAGACTTACACTCCACGACCCCAACAACAGTCAAGGATTTATTTTCCCTAATCCAACAATGTTACAACAACATAGCTTATATGCATATACATCGCATCCATATGACATGAAATTGACAACACGAATACATACAACATAATCTCACTCATTTTATCGAGAACATCATTATACAATGCATTTCATACATCATGACATTGCATACAACTAATCTTTCATCATTTTCAGGAAAGATCAGTCAATGGATGGTTATCATCATCAATTTGCAAAAGGTCAGAGATTGATACAGGAAACAAGCCAGGACAATTATCTACACAATAGTTGAAGTTGATACTACATGGGTTTTATCTCATTCAGATTTTCTCTCAGATACAGTTCAGATATGCTCCAGACACGGATGCCATTCTGATACTCATTTAAATCCATCTTTCAGATACAGTTCAGATATGCTCCAGACACGGATGCCATTCTGATACTCATTCAGATTCAGCTCTCAAATACAGTTCAAATACACTCCAGACACGGATGCCATTTTGATACTCATTCAGATTCATCTTTCAGATACAGTTCAGATACACTCCAGACACGGATGCCATTCTGATGCTCATTCAGATTCAGCTTTCAGATACAGCTCAGATACACTCCAGACACAGACGGTATTCTGATACTCATTCAAATTCAGCCTTCAGATACAGTCCAACAATCATTTTGGATGGCATCTGCAAGCCCATCTCCGACAACTTCTCATCTCCTCTCCAAATGGAATCTTTAAGCCCATTCCCTACATTATCAACCATCACATCCTCGAGTGCAAATTTCTGGGCACTCTAGTGTCCAATCCTCTTCCACCTTCAAGTCACGAATGGTAAATCCGCCAATCTAACTCTTCAGGTTTAAGAAGATTGAACAGGGGCAGCTGTTGTACCCCAAAATTTTTCGTCTCATTTATCAAATATTTTCTCACAAGATCTCATTTGGTTCAAGACTGCACAAGGGTTGATCAACTCAAAGACACCTCCTTAAGCACTGATGACTAAATTAGGGTTTGAGATTGCACAAGGATAATTGAACTTTCAATGCCTAATATGACTTTCATGGATCATTATGGACCCCCAAGATTACTCATGTCAAGTTTCAAGCCTTGGATCACATTTTTGCTCAGTCAATTGAGCAGTTGACCTAAAAATCAACTATATTAGGGGAAAAAAGTCAACTATGGAAAATTTACAGTCAAACTTCATAATTCTTTATCCATATCAACATTATAAACTCATATGTATCATTTGATCAAGTTTGGACCACAATTCCTTAAGAAATTTGATCAAATCATCAAAAGGGCAAAATTGTCAAAATTAGGGTTTTGATTGAGAAGGGGCAATTTCTGATTTTTGACCTAGAAAATGATCAATTGGTTTGAAGCATGATCTCAAGAGTTCAATTGCATCATTTTTACCTAATGGCATGACCCAAAACATTTCTCAAGATCAATTGGATTGATAATGAATTCTCAGTTAACTGATCAAAAGTCAATTGTACACTGAAAAGTCAAACTTTGACTTTTGGTCAAAATCAAGTGTCAAAGATCACAATTCATCAAAACA